TTTTTCATGTGAGGGTTTCCTCCAATCTCTATTGACCCTTGCTGTCCCTTCATATTGCAGAGCGAGGCCGTGACCGCCCAGCTCCAGGCTCCGCGCGAGTTTCTGTGCATCCTGGAAGGCTCCGAGCTCTGGCCTCGCGGTCTCTCCGACTCTCCCCTGTCTCTCTCCTGGCCCGCTGGGCTCCCATCAGTTCCCCAGGCACATAGGCTTTGTTGTTGCTTTGCGGCTTCGCAATTGCTGTTCCCGCTGCCTGGAGGGACGATCCCCTGGGGGTTCCCTTGGCTTATTCACCTCTTTCAGGTTTCTGCTCACATAACCCTACCACAGAGGTCTTCCCTGACGCCCTGTGTGAAACTTCTACCTGGGCCTTCGTCGGCTTTCCTTTCCGTGGGCCGTAGGGTCCCCTGACATGGCAGCACGTAGGGTATGCTGGGTCAGGTTTACCATGATGCTGTATTTGTGTGAGGCCCGGTCCATGCAGTCAGGGTTCTTTATTTTGTTCACTGTGTGTCTGCTGCACCTGAAGCAGTGCTTGGCACACATTAGTATGTATTTAATGCAGGTTTGATGCAGGAAGGAAGGAAGAAGTGGTGGCTTCACTGAACGTGGAAGGGCCAGGACCTGGCCATTCACTGAAGATCCCTAACCTTCAGTCTCTCTGGATCCTTCTTTTGGGTCCATTTCTTCAGCCGCGGGAGTCCTAGCTGCCAGTGTCCTTGGAGTTGACTGGGAGGTCTTTTATCTGATCCTCCTGTTTACAGCAAAGTACCCCTGTCTTCTGAGCCCTTTGAATTAACCTATCCTGGGAGCTAGAATAGCAATCCCCTGGTTGTGTTATGTAGGGGTGGGTGGGGGAGAGGAGCCGGACTGATTGCCAGTCTTAAGCCCTACCCACACCCTTATTCTCAGAAGTACCCTGCATCTCTGATTCCTATACCCTCTGGGGTTCTGCAGGGTTTATCACAAGTATGTGCTCGTAACTGTTTCATTGGCCCGCGGGGGAGGAAAGCCCTAGTGTGCAGTGTTGGCTCCTTGCCATGGTGTAAGTCCTCCCACCATAACTGAACTTAAGCTATCGTCATGACATCACTGAACACGGACTTGGGAAGAAATGCACAATCGGACACCAGTGTTCCACCTTCTAGACACAATAGATGTGAATGACTTCAAGAGTGTAGATAAGACCTAGTAACATAAGAGGGAGGTGAAGACTTTTGAACAGCTGTTAACTTTGTTTTATTAAATATAATTTGAGGTTTACGTAATTTTTTTTTTTTTAAAGATTTTATTTGACAGAGAGGGAACCCAAGCAGGGGGAGTGGGAGAGGGAGAAGCTGGAGCAGGGAGCCTGATGCGTGGCTTGATCCCAGGACCCTGGGATCGTGATCTGAGCTGAAGGCAGACGCTTAACAACTGAGCCACCCAGGCGCCCCAGAGGTTTACATAATTTTTAATGATGGTTCTTTTTAACCAGCTTGTAAATTTCCTAAAAATTTGACAGTCTGCTCTGGTGAGCTTCTGTAAGCTGGTTCTAGCATGTATCCTCTTGCTTTTGGATTCCCTTACTCTTGCAGGCTTTAATTTTTTGATATCTGGTATCTTCTTTCTACGTCAGTTATCCCTGGTTCATCTAATTTCCAGTTTCTAAAATTTTGTGAATGGCTTTTTTCCACTTGTCCTCTTCTTGACTTCCTTCTCACTGTCCTATTGGGCTTAAGCCTTCCTGAAAAACATCCTTTTACTTCCATTTTCATGGGTTTCCAAAGGCAGTCAAGGTAAATGCAGGCGTTCAAAGTGCTTTGTTTAACCAGAAGTGTCTGCAATTAGAGTAATTTTGAACTTACTGCACATACATGCTTAGAAATGTGCTTTCTGACTATGTTCTTTGGCTTATATGGATTCTTTTTTTGACTGTTGAATGATTGGTAACCTTCTATGGCTCCCATAAACTTTTAGTATGACATTTACTTCATTAATTTCCATTGCTTACTGTGCTTTTGGTATGAGAATGGGTTCATTATAACACCACAGGAGTAACTCTTTTAACCACCTAGAAATCAGACATTAAACAGTCAAGTTTTTATTTTCAAGGGTCTTTGAGTAAAATGAGGCAGTGGTTTTTAAAATTTTTCAATATGTTTTTTTCTTTCCAGAGTTTGACTTTATTCCCAGTGAGCTTATCTATCTTAAGGTAGAGGGTAGAGAAGGAGGGAATTAGAATTGTTACAGCAGGAAAGAAGGAAATTCATGTTGAGGTTTTTTTCACTTTGAAGACAAAATAATAGGCTTAAAAGTCACTTACTGTGAAAAAAGGATTTTATAAGTTCCTTTATCTCCTCCTGCACTATAACAAGACTCGGATGTTGGTTGTAACTGAGACCTCACTTCATCTCCATTCTCTCCACAGCTTGGTTGTTCATGGCTCCTTCCTTTAACGGAAAAATACCCTAATGTTCTTCCACTACTAAGCTAGTTTGAGTTTCTGTTACTTGTTGCTAAGGGTTCTAAGTCTTTTCAGTTACGAGAATTTTGTGGGTCTCCGTTCCACACGATAGCTGTTTTATTAGCAGTATTTTGACTGAGAAAATCTAGCCAACACAGATAGATGGGCAAAAGGATACAATGAATTCAGTAATGCTTATGAATGAACTTTTATTTATCACATCAAAATGTATATATACAATATTTGTAAAATGGGAGTGCCTGCAAGTCTAAGACGTTGTTTTTTCGGTGTATAAATGATGCTTGGGGACCATAGGGATTTGTAGATTCCTTGAAATAACTCGTCGCTCCAGCTGCCTATTCCCAGACCCAAAGATGCTTCCTTCACAGGTTGGCAGCCACTGCTTTAGATTACCCTTCTCCCCAAAGTCCTTCTCATCTGATTTGAAATGAGTGCTTTCTTGCCTTTCTCCAAGACCCCACTGGATCTACTCCAGCTCCTAAGTACCTCTTGACCCCATCGCACTCTTCTATACCTGCTGCCGCTGCTGCAGTCCAGGCCCCGCTCACCCTCACAGGCACTGATGGCGACAGTCGGTCTGTCTGGCCTCTCTTCAGGTCTGTTCTTCTCCAGTCCGCACTCTGTACTGCAGGTGTTTCTCATTGTGTCCTTGCCGGAAACACTGCTGCTCCCGTGTCCCAGCAGGACAGCTGGGATACCTTTGTTTCCGTCCCACTTAACTGCTCGTGTTCTGCAATCGTGTCTTGTGCCTTTTGCTTATGAGCTTTTGTTTGAACCAGTTCTTCTGGCTAGAACAGTCTTTCTCCTACACATGACAAGTTCATGCTCAGCTCAGATGTCACCTATGACCCCCACAAGCCTCCTGGTCCATGATAGCCATACCTTTTCCCGGCATCCTGTAAGCACTTTGGTGCAGGCTTGGTGAGGGACTTCTCGCCACGTGGGCACTGTGGGGAAAGGAACGGTTAGTCACGTTTCTATCTCCGAGCACCGCAGACAGTGCCCGGTACATAGCAGATACCTGATAAATGTTTACTGAACAAACTGATGTGGATTGGTATGCTTATGAGTACAGGTCTGTTGGAGACTAGCTCCTGAATAAGATTCAATGTTATTTTATTATAAAGCCATGGAAGTGGAACAAGAAAAACCTGTTAAAATTATTTTCCCAATTGTTTTTTCCCATTTCAGTCTCTTTTGACATTTTTTTCTCCCCAATAAGACTTCATTTCGTCTGATTGCAAAAGCAACACATAGCTTAGTATTTCCATGGACATCAGACAGGCTCGGGTTCAACTTTTGCTACTTAGTGGCTGTGTGCTTGTACACAGTACTTGATCTCTTCATGCCTTCGTTTTCTCATCTGAATAATGGAGATTGTTATAATAGTTCTTCCTAAGACTGTCATGGAGATGAAATTAGTGTACGGAAAGTGCTTAACACAGTAACCTGGCGCAGTGATTGCTCCATAAATATGCACAGCTGACATTATGGTCAATGCAGAAAAGGTAGTCTGTGAGAGCGGGGATACAGTTGGGAGTCTTTGGCCCAGGATCTTCACTGCATTGCATTAAAAGAAAACATAAATCTGACTCCAGAAGCCTTGGATGAGAATCTTTAGGACAGCCTTTCTCAACCACGGTTCATGTGAACCACAAAGCTTAAAATGACCAAGTGACTCTTTTCTCCCCTGAGGATGCTACATAAGAGCACCATTCTAAATGCACATGAGAGCTGGCTGACTATATGCAAAGCTTGATTGAGGACACTGGGGTGTAGGCCTCTCTCCACCCCCTCCCCTTTCAGAAAGGCTGCTCTGCTGCTTCTTGAAGACCTGGGGCAGAGCTCAGCATAGTGCTGCTTGTCTTCCGTGGAAACCTCATTTTCTCCAGCCTTCTCAGGATGGCTGATAAAAATCTCTCCCTCCCTCACCCATGTGATAGGTTCCTAGAACACCATTCATTTGTTCTTATTCCACATCGTGCTCACCACATAGCCAGTAGTTCTGCCAGGTGTTCCCTTCTCTTGAAAGAACCCGTGTCTCCCGATCCTTGTGTGCCCTCCTTCCTCTGGGATCGCTGTGAAGAGTGTTGCCAAGAAATGCATGTCCATAACTGGACTCTAGAGCAGGAAACATTGACATTTTTCCCTTCACTTACAGACTTCTAAAAGTCCTCTAGATACCTTGCCACTGCCAAATTCCTCTTCTTCACAAAAACTATAGAATTCTCTGGGCACTTAATCTAAGCGCATCATGATTTGTGCTGCTGAGGCTTCCAAAGATGGGTGCTGTACGGCAGAGCAAATCTGCCCTTTTGGAGCCATTCCTACGTCCTGTTGCTCTTCAGTGCCGACAAAGCTCATGCTGCCTCCCAGGAAGGTCCCAGGCAGCTTTCTTGCTGGGGAGGGCCACGAATAGTGGATGGAGGAATAATCCTGGGTAGGCAACTAGCACTGTCTACAATCCACATAATGGAATTATCATATAGCCATTACCTTTTGAAGAGTATTTATTGACATGGGAAAATGCTCACAATATATTAAAGAAGCAGGATACAAATCTGTAAATACAGTATGATCCCAGTCTTGTAATAAAATAAATTCTATATGCATAGAAAAAATACAGGACAGAAATACACTAAAACATTAACAGTGATTATCTTGGTGGTGGGATTTGGGTGACTTTAGCTTTCTGCCTTTTCCAAACTTTTCATAATGAGCATATATTCATATATTACTTTCATAATGGCGGGGGTGGGGGACAGGTCCGTACCAGTGACACCATGACACCAGACACCAATATCGGGAGGCAGTGCAACTGATGCGGTGTTGAGGAGCTACTCAGTACCTGCACTGCCGCAGGTGTCCCCATTTATAAAGGAGGGACGAGAACCCGTCTGCCCACCTCCCGGGACCACGGGTGTGGGAAGGGGGCCCCGAACGTCTGTCAGCTGTACTCAAGTGCCTTGTGGTGGTACTTGCATGCCCTGCGTTGGAGGGCAGGAGGGCTGCGGACCCGCGGCCCATCCATATGCTCCTCCCTGCCGTGGGCCGTCGCGGCAGGCATCTGTCTAGGGCAAGCCTGCAGCCCTGGTCTCTGACCTCAAGGATTCCAGGTCCTTGTTTGAAATCCGGTCCTGCGCAAGTCTTCCACTCACAGATCCGCTCCAGGTCACCTCCCTGCTTATAAGGTGCCTTAAACTGGTTCTGCTGAAATGGTTATTGCTTAAAATGGCCTGAGAATGCCCGCCTGCAGCACTCCAGAATCCTAGGAGGCCCCAGGTAGTCAGGGTGGTGAGGGGAGGGAGGGAGGTGTTGGGAGTCAGGCCAGCCAGACTTGGACTCCTGTTTGCAGTGACACTGGGAAACTGAGGCCTGCGGGGACGGTCTCTAACAGGAGATGCGATGAGGTTACTTGCGATAAGAGACATGAAAAGCCCAGCACATACTAAGGACTGAGCAGACGTTAGTTTTCTTTCCCGGGGCAAAATGAGGTCCTTCCTCTCCCCCTGCAAATGCTGTCTTCAAAAACAAAGCCTAGTACTTAGTGCCCAGTGCAGGGAAACGCAGAGTGAAACACACTCCTTGAAAGCAGTAGAGCACAGCTACTTAAGCAGGACTGTTCAAACACTGTGCACAGCTGGCAAGATGCTATTTCGGTAAACCTGTCTTCATGTAGGTAAGCCGACACTCATGCCAAAGCTATTTGCTTGTAGAAATTATAAAAATACTTTAAAAATGCATTTGTAGGATGAAGTAACAAAAATACTTTTTCTAAACTTTTTTCACACAATCTAAATTTATGAATTGCCGAGTTTCATTTCATTTACTGTTAAAACATGGGTCACCCACCACTTCTCCAACTATCTGGATGAAAATCCTGAAGTATATTGTATTCTTCCTAGCCTTTTATTCTGGAGTATTCTGGACTTACTCAGTTTTGTAAAATCAAGTCTGGGTCCTCTCTCTGAGAATTTGTCTATGGGCCATGCTGTTGGTACAGATCTTTCTGGGTCCACCAGTGTCCTTTGGGAAACAGACTGGCCCAGACTTGTGAGGCCTGGTGTAGATTTCCTCCTCCTCCCTGCCCTCCTATCCGGTTTTTAGCGGGGCCTTCAGCGGTTTTCGGTAGACCTGCCTTCTATTGAGCAGCCACCTCCTCTGCCGTTTTGGTCTTTGTTTTTGTTTTGAGTTATCTGGCTTTCAAGCCCATTAAAAAATCTGTTAAAATGTATGCAAATTTTAGTAAAGAGGTAAAAGGAGAGATTCTTGAGGATCTCTCCTATGAGTAAATTGCAAGAAACTCTAGTGACTTCTTTGGCAGCTCAAAGGCCTTTAAAAACTGCATCCTTGAACTGTTGTTTTGTCAGAGAAGGGATCTCTGGATAAATGACATTTTCCACCAATACTCCACGTACTTTACCTATCCTTAGAAGGGGTATTATGGTAAGTGAGATAACAGATGTGAAAACACTTTAAAAAAAGCATAAACTCTGAAATATTGTTTGCCCCATGTATCTGTAAAGAAACACACACAGATGGCTAAATTGAATCAACCCCAATGTTTTATTTAATTTAAAGTTTTAAAAGGCAGTGGTTAAGCACATTATCTATGTGTATATATGTATGCATGTACGTACATGTACATACATCCATGCAGACATATATACAAGGAAACCAACCCCTTTCAGCTTTAGCCACTGATGAACTAGGCCCACTGTCTATTGCAGGGTCCATATTCTACTTCTTCATATGACCAATTCTAAAAGTAAAAATAAACAGCCTTAATCAGTTTAACAGTAACTGTGTTTCTTTTTTTTTAAATAAATAAAGTTACCATTAAACTGATCACATATGGTAGAAAGGTCAAACACACACACAAGCGCACACACAGTCCCAATGTACAACCTGTGACCTATGAATGACCTATATGTACAAATGGGGGCTGCTGACCCCCTCCACCCCCAGCAGAGGCCATGAGAGAACTCCCAGCACTCCGGGAGTCCCCATCCTCTCTGCTGGGTTGGAGGACGTGTGTTCCTGGCACCCCGAGTTAGACCTCAGAATGCATGCTCCCATGCAATGATACAGATGGGGGTTCAGTTCTATGGTACTAGTGTTAAGGTACGTAAGAGAATAAATAGGCATCTGTAGCTGCCTCAGAACTAAACCATCATTTATAACCCTTTAGAGGGAGAAATGTATTCTGAAGTTCTCGATAAGGGACCTACAAACTTTTAGAATGTAATCAGTTTGCAAGTCTGGGGCTGTGTGTGTGCGTGTTTGTGCATTTCCACATATTTGTACAAAATTGAAGAGTGGGACTAGGTTTATGGAGCAGCTGCTTGGCTTCCATGTAATCAGTCCTGATCTAACAAGTCACTTGCCTCAGCCCTTATTTAGCGGCTCGTTCTGCTTCTCACGTGGCTCCGTCTGCTGGAGAGATTCAGAAGGGGGCAGCTTTCACAGGCGAGAGAGGAAGGCCACGACTACATCTTCTAAGAACCTTGGCAAACAGAATGGCCAGATTCAACCAGGGCTGCTTTATAGGATGAAGTCCTTCAGTTCCATCCCAATGAAATGGAATTCCTCTTCTTCTGTGGTTAGCCCCTGCCACTCCATCTAACTGCAGCTCTGTACGAACGCCTCGGTATCGCGAAAACACAGGATCACCTCTTAAATATGCTGGATTCTCAACGAGTAAACCAGTTAATGTGTTTCTAGCCAAAGCAAGGGCATAAATGTTTTAGAGAAAAGACTCCCCTGGAGCTACAGAGAAAAGATGCTGATAAAAGCAATATTGAGAGTTGGGCAGGTGACGCTTTTAGTCTGTGTCAGAGCTGGTCTCTTCGATGACAGAGTACTGGTTGAGTGCTTCCTCCAAAGGCGTTATTGTCCCATCAGGTTTTAGTCCCATTGGTTTAAGCAACTCCTCCCTGGAAAAAGAGATAAAAGAGAGAAAAAAAAAGTATTCACCAGCATCACACACACACCCCTCCCCCCGCCCAAATCCACATCCTTTTAAAAAGAAAAGTCTTTAAAAACCAAAGTATTTTTCCTCAAGCTCTCTGTGTGTTTGTAACAGGAAAGATGAAAGGGGCATGGAAAGAAAAAGAGGGAGATAAAAGACTTCATTCACACAGGCCAAACCTACTAAGCCAATTAAAAGTATGAAAAGTCAAGGTCTAAATGGGCTCAGGACAAGGAGCAGGTCTCTTCTGTTTTTAATAGTTAACTTTTTTTCCTTTTGTGGATTCGTTGTTTTAGTGAAGTTGAAGCTGCCAAAATTTCACGGGTCCCAGTGGGCCAGGCATATAATCAAGTGGCTGATTTGATACTTATGGATTTCGTTCAGTGGAATAAATGTCGGATTTGATTTTGCCTCTCCAACCTCTAGCGATACATAAGTACTTCTCGATTCAGTCCAAGTCAACTGGACTCCCCAACTTTCTCCCTCCCTTTTATTTCCTTCTCTCTTTCCTTCTTTTTTTTTTCCCTTTTTTAAACACCATTGCTTTTGTTTGTGGCAGTTTAATTATGGGATTGACAGCCATTTTAATCTCTTCAAAGCTCCCCAACTGCCTCTTTTCAGCTAATCCAATTATATCTACTCCACAAGTTACAGCCTCATCTAAAGATGATTAATTATTGATTAAGTCAATCAAAAAGCATTAGGAAAGATTTATTTAATCTTTTCATAGGCTCTTATTTATTACATGGAGATTATGGCAAATGTACCTGTTGAGTTGCTAACTCTAGTCCTCTTCCCACCCCCAAAATGTCAGCAGTGTACTTTAAGAGTAGCCTCAAAGAGGCACATGAGCTGCTTAAAATTTATTTCTCAAGGAAATGGGCACCACCCACTGAGAACATGTCTATAACCAGGAAGCCCCACGGCAGCAGCTGTAATGCTGGCGGGATCTGGAGTGGAGGGGACACTAAAACTGCTTTCCCTCTGCCTCCTTGCTGTTGTCCCGGAGGCCAGCACAAAGAAGGGCTCCCTTCTGGGGAGGGCCGGCCGCACAGCAGTGTGAGGTGTGAGAGGCGCAGTGAAACCCCTGGGGAGGGGTTAGAACAGCTCAGTGGTCCCTGGCTCAGCCAGCAGGAGCCGAATCGAGCAGCTTCGGCTAGCACCAGAGGACTATTTGAGTAATGGGATGGCTGCCTGGCTATGTTGAGGCTCCTGAGTTATAAAGGAGGAGATGTGGTTCCTGGTCCAAGAAATGGGGTCAGAATCATAGAACTTGAAGGGGCCTCAGAGATCATTTAGTCCAACCCCCTTGTTTACTGAATGAGACTGAGTGACTTACCCAAGGTCACACACCTAGTGGCAAGCTGGACCTGGGACACAGGTTTCCTGCATCCCAGGCTAGCGCTCTTGGTGGTGTACCACCTCTGGATTAACTGCTCTAACTACACTGCAGGAGCACACTGCATTCAGCTGTTCAGTGTCTGTTCAGCTCCTCCATGCCAGAAGCTAGGCCATACACTAGGCAGGGAAAGGAAGAGTGGGCACAACGGTCCTTGAGGAGCAGGTGAAACATATATGAAAAATAACTCCAAACATAATGGGGTAAATGCTGTCCCAGAATCACGAACAAAGAACTGGCAGCTCCAGAGATGAAGCACAGACCGAACTGCCTGGGGGAGGGAGGGTGGCATCACAAATAAGGTATCCAAGGCCGAGCAAAGAAGGCACAGAGCATCTGAGGCAAAGGAGACCAACGGGCTCTGTATGGTCCCATCTACTTGTGTGTTTTGTATCCCTTTTTGGACTGTGTCCATTTCTTTCTCTGTGCTCCCAGGAAGCTGTGAAAGGGCCCAGTGTTTGCAGAGGAGTGAGGTTCAATGAAGGAGTGGCAGGAGGTAAGGCTCAAGAGTAATTTGGGGTCTAGCGGGTAAGTCTGGGTTTTGCTCTGTAAGGGATGTCACATCTATTTTATAAGGCAGTGTCTCTAGCAGCAATGGGGAAGGTGCACTGGACCAGGGAGAACCTGGTGGCAGAGAGACCAGTCATTAGGATGTCATGGTACAGTGTGTGTGACAGGAGACAGGCTACTGGACTCGGGCTGTGACCCGCTGGAAGGGGAGAGGGCTGCTGAAGGAGAGACTGGGGGAGGGGCAGAATGTCCCTGTGGCCTCCGGCTTAGATGACCAAGAGGATGGTGATACAATTCACTGGAGCAAGAACACGGCAGATGAAGTAGATTTTGGTGGGGAGATGCTGACATCGCTCAGGACATGAAGAGCTTGAGGCCCTTGCATGACAACCAGGTAAATGTTTAGGTGAAAGCCAGAAACAACCTGTTTCCATGAAAACTTCCCTCTAGCACTGATATATACCCCATATCTACATTTTTACAACACAGTTGCCTCGTTCCAACTGCTTGTGCTAAAGGATTTTTTGATATTGGACACTGCTTACTAATGACGTAAAAGGACAAGGGGCTAACCTGCTAGGAATAAAACACTGAGGGATAAGAAAGTTGACAGGTCTAAAGGGGCCTGTGGAAGAGGGTACAGTAAGATGGGCTAGGCAGCGAAGGGTCGGGGTAGATAGAAGCAGAACCCTGGATGGGACCAGAGGACTTCTACGGAGATGGTGATGAGACGCTGGGGGGATAGGCCCCCGCCCTGCCCCACTACCAACATGACTCCACCTCTGTGACAACAGGATGATGCTGCGCTAGCTACCAGCTGTACAAAGTAGCTATCACCTTCTCCAAATCTAGGAGGAATATTTTCAAATCAAGTCCATTGGTTTCATCCCTACTCCAATTTCATGATGGAAATAATTAAGAACATTACAGAAGTCCCATGCCCAAATTATAGGAACCTGTCTATGGGATAAAGGGGCCCATATTTTAAATCTCACCTGTGAACTATTCTTCTCAAGCATTTATTTTTTGGGTCCTTTGTATCACCCTCTGAGGGCTCCACAGGATGCCTGGACTTACAGACACCTCTGTAGGAGAGGTGTCATGCTAACTGGCCATATAATTATGCATTTGTGCAAATGAATTAAGATAGCAATGTGATACAGTGTACAAAAACAAAAATATCTGGAATTAGGAAGTCTGTTTGGAGCCTTGGCTATTCACTTACCAGTTGTGTGATCTTGGGCAAGTCTGAGTCTCAGTTTCCCTGTCTGTGAAATGGGGATAATGCTAATACTAGTTCTACCTAATTCCTAGTGATGATGTGAGGAGTAACCATAACAGAACCAGTGGTGGTGGCAATAACAACAATGATGTAGGTCATAGAGTTCTATGAACTGCAAACGAGTCCTAAATATTAGTTATTATTATTGTGGTACAGTGAAAGGCACACACAGGTTTTGGAATCGGACAGACCTAGGTTCTAATCCTGGGTCCACCAGTCACTAACAGTAAGACCTGGAACTCTCTGAACTTCAATTACCTTATCTGTAGAACTGGGATAGAAATACCCACCTCACTGAGCTGTCATTAAGGCAAAAGGTCACTATACATATAAACTGTAGTGTACTGGCTGGAATGTAGGTGGAACAGCAAGTTGCATTTCCTGTCTTTATGTGCTTATGGGAGGCTTTCCCAAGCTGCGTAGGGCACTCTGGGAGTAAGTGGGGGGGATGAATATGCAGAAGCAAAAGACATGGTCCCTGTCCTCAAGAAGCTTTTAGTCAGTTCAGAAGATAAAACACACACACATTAAACAATATTAAAAGAATTACAGAACAGCAGATCAACAAGCTTGAGATGATTAACAGGCAGAGCCCTGCTTTCCCTAGCTTGACAGTTCATCAATATACTCTTATTGTAATTAAAACATGTTTAAAGGAATTTCTTGTCCTGTTTGGGAGTGGAACGAGAGAGGATCTCCCACAGCTATGTGACTGTTCTTTCTGCTAGACTCCAGCCTTACTTGTCACATTCCCATCTCAACGTTTCTAATCTTCCTCTCTATCATGCAACTAACAGCCCACAAATACCCAAATGAAATCTTTGATATAGAGACTCACTCCTAAAATGTCTGATGAATGACCTGGTTATACTACACTGTTTCATTTAATAAGATGTTATATCTAGATATCTAGATCAGCAAGATGTGGACGGAGAATGGGAAGCATTAACGAATACCACAGAAATGTTATTCCACCATCATCTGGGTTAGGTACATGTGGGAGAGACACAGGAGGAGGTGGGGATGCTGATCACAGGCTCCTTGCAGGAGACAGACTCAGGGCCAGACTATAATGGCAGGGATGGACATGGATTCATGGGGAGAAAGGCATCCTAGGAGCAGAAGAATTAGTCAAGCAAAGGCGCAGAAGCAAGAGTTAGTTGTGTGCAGAGATTGGCAAGCAGGCTGGTTTGGCTGAGGTAAAGGAAAAAGAAAGCTCAAAACAGACCTGGGGTACAAAAGAGGATCTGAATGGAGACTTTGAAATCCTAGGCTGACAAGTCTGGATTATAGTTACAGAGGTATTTTTGTCTTCTATTTCATCTAAATATTTATTAAAAATAACTCTCATTACAAAGTTTGAAAGCTATGAAACAGTATTGCCCTGACATGAAAAAGAAAATGTTCTATGCTATAAGTATTCAATTTTCATACCCCTATGTGTCTAGCACAACGCCTTGCCAACAGCAGATCCTGTGTAAGTGTTTATGGACTAAACTGAGTTGCACTTGATGTTATCTTGTACTTTCACAGAAAGGGAATGTATAGTGTTTTATGGGACTCCTAATAAATAAACCATGATCAAGAGAAAAGCTAGATCTTTCGGTAGAAAATTCATTTTCATCATCAAGATCTACAAAGTTAGGAAAGATATTAGCCTTCTACAGGAAATTCTGCATAATGCTTTCCAAGGATTTCTTGTTCTCTGCTAGACTGTGAGCAACTTGAGGGCAGAGTCCATGTCTTATCTAACTGTGATCTGCAGTATCTAGTA